GTGATCTATATGTTCCTCCCTAGCTTATTCAAGGTATCTCTGAGTGTTAAAACGTGGGGTTAGAAAACTGGAGATTTCTCTTAGGGTCTGCCTACCTAATGCTCACCCGTACCATGCACTGTTGTCACTGGTCCTGGGTGACCCAAAGTCCTCCCTGTGTCTAAGGAGTGGTGAGCTTCTAACTGACCTAATAAGCTACATCTCAAGAGCAAAGAAAAAAATCTCACCGCGTGCTATTCAAAACACTGAAATTCAGCGAGTCCAAAGGCAAGTGGGGAAGGGGCGAAGGATGAGCGACAGGTCCTGGCCATTATGGACTGCAGCCACAGGCAGCCTGGTGTCTGGAACTGCCTGCCAGCTTGAGCCAGTCTCCAGAAAGGGTGGGTAGGGGTGCGAGTTCGTCTCAAAGTCCCAAGAAACCAACCTGAAGTCCAGAGATGAGTAGGGGTGGGGATGAGCAACAGGTCCTGGCCGTTAGGGTCTGCAGCTGCAGGCAACCTCACTACGGTTTTGATGTTAGTGACACCCAAAAGAGTCTCATACAATCCCAGGTGTCCCTGGACCACATTTTGAGAATCATTGTTCTAAATAATTTCTGAGATGTGCTTTCATTTAAAAATAAAATTTATAATATTTAGAAATCAGTATTTTCAGTAGTTTTAGTGATGCCCTCTACCTCTTTATAAATTATTTATTATTATTATTATTTTTTTAAAGTTTGCCATAGGGCACGTGTGCTTACCAGAAGACAGAGAGAGAGAGAGAGAGAGAGAGAGAGAGAAAGTGAGAAAGCAAGTCACTAGGTCCAGTACTCAAACCACAGTTGGCCATGTGGGAGTTTAGCACCTTAAGCAACACACTACCTGCTGGCACCTCTACCTCATTTATAACAGAACTTTACCAGTATTTATTTCTTGACTCTGTTATTTTAGTGCATCATCAAATAATTTGTTCCAGACAATGTATCAGCAAGAACAGAGAAAACTATTCCATAAGAACAAATAATTCCCAGATTTCAGTAAGTCAATGAGCCTCTGCTTCAGACGCCCTTCACCCTGGCTTCTGTGTCTGGCTAATGAACAGCTACCATCTGAAAATGATAGCTCCTTTGGCAAAGAAACAGAGACCATACCTAACTAGACAGCCATCACTCTAAGAAATTAGGGAAATACAATCTTAACTTAGAAAATCTGTGACCAGTCCAGAGGATGCATGCATGAAATATTTTCTGCGTCCTTCATGCATGAATAATTGATCAAACTATACATTTCTTTTTAGTCATTTCCTTTTGCCTCTAAATCTATAGAGGTGGATATTTTAGACATTTAGGGTTTCGAATTTACTTTTCATTTTTCCCTTTGGGTTTTTACCTCTTTGTGTTCTGGCATGTTCTTTCACCTTTATTTTGTGATTATTTCAGTTCAGTATTTTTTTTTTTTTAATTTCAGCAATCATTCATTTCCAGACCCTCTTTTATTTTCTGGTTGTTTCTTTTCTGGATGGCATTTTGGGCATAATGTATTCTCATATCCATACAATTGTGTGTGTGTGTGAGTGTGTTTGTGTGTGTATGTGTGTGTGTGTATTTTATTTCTCTTCAGTTCTGTGCAACATTTCTATTCCTGCCGGGTAACTTTTGCCCTTTGCTCTTCTTGATTCTATTCCTTTATGTTGTAGGTTCCCATAAATCTCTGTGGCCTGTTGTTTTTACATACTTAAGGGTGAAACAGTGAAAAGCTAACTTGAAACGTCATTTAATGAGCTGGACTTATAAATGTCTGGACTTTCCTGGGGAAATCCCAAGTGCTTGAAGATAAAGTCCTATTCTCACACTAATTTATATTTTTATTAAGAAGGCAGCTCTAGGGTTGACTCCACAGTGCAGTGGTTAAATGCAATGCGTTGGCAGCTGGATCCCATATAGCTGACAGGGGTTGGAGTTCTGACCCTGGTGCCTTGAAAAACACAATTGCTCCAAACCTGACAGGATGGAGAAATGGAAGAAAAGCTATTGTGGTGTGACCATGTCCCATCGGGAGGTGCTTTCTTTGTCTCTCTCTTTCTCCAGTGAATGCATGAGCCCTCTGGCAATTAATTTAAAAAGAAGAAGGAAGGGGAGGGGAGGAGGAGGAGAAACAGTGAAGGAGAAGAAAGAGGAAGAAGGAGGGTAGGAGGGAGAAGAAAGCTCCAGCCACCGGTCTGGATTTAGGTGTCCTGTGTTGGACAATAGTTTGTACTTTGCGTTTAAATAATCCTTCAGTTGGGCCAGCTCCACAGCATAGTGGTTAAACACTGTGCAGAAGGTGCTGGGTTCCACATGGTTGACTGTGGTTCAAATCCTGGCTTGCAAAAAGCACCAGACATATGCGTGTGTACGCAAGATCCTGATGGGATGGGAAAATAGAGGAAAGGATTGTGGTACGATCAGGTCCTATCGCTTTTTATCTATGATATCGATCAGCTTGCCTCTATTTTTTCTCTTTTAGAGTTTGGTTTAAATGTTGCATCTAATTTTCTTCTCTTTGTTACTGTGACTTTAACTCTTTACTCTTATTTCAGGGGACACTCCAGTGAGAGAGGGAAAAAACATTTGTTTTCAATCAATCATCTTTAATCAAAAGTGTTTTTCTATTTTAAAGAATTCAATAGAGAAATTAGGTTTTCATTTTTGTTTATTTGCTTGGTTGGTTTTTGCCATAGGGTGCGTGCATTCACCTGAGTGAAACAGAGAGACAGTGACAGGCAAAGTGAGAAATGACACCCCAGGGAGGACGGCCATGCTGCAATCCCTTCTCCTCCATTCTCCTCTTGGCATTTTGGGCATGTGTGCACATGTGTCCACTGTGTTTTTCAAACCACTGGATCTGGACTCAAACCACAGAGCTGACCGTGTGGAATCCGGCATCTAAACCACCACACCACCTTCTGGCCCTCCCACGACTATTTATTTATTTATTTATTTATTTTTAGAGAGAGGTTTTATTTTATTTTATTGTTTTTATTTTTTTTTTTTTTTGAGAGATTTTCGCTATAGGGCTCATGCGCTCGCCAGACGGACAGAGAGAGACAGAGAGACAGAAAGCGAGAAATCACCCCCCAGGGGGGATGGTCACGCCGCAATCCCTTCTCCTCTATTCTCCTCTTGGGATTTTGGGCACGCACGCACACGCGCCCAGCATGAGTTTTAAGCCACCGGGTCCGGGACGTGAACCGTGGTCGACTACGTGGGAGCCCAGCGACATAGCCATTATGCTAACTGCTGGTTTCCCCCTAGAGAGAGATTTCTGCTATGGGCGCATGCACTCGCTGGAGAGACAGAGAGATAGAGAGACAGAAAACTAGAAATTGTCCCCCATGAGGGATGGCCACGCTGCAATCCCATTCTCCTCTTGGGATTTTGGGAATGCACATACATGCACCCAGTGTTTCAAGCCACCAGGTCCAGGACTTGAACTGCAATGTAACCACTACGCCATCTACTGACCCCTTAGGACTATTTTTAATTCAAACTTTACCAGAGAATCTTTGAACCAATTTTTGGATACAGAATACCATTCGTCCCTTTGTAGTTACAAACAGGAGAGGTAGCTCTTCTTCCCAGCCTCCCATCCTCCTGACATTTGTTTCTTTGTTAGCTAAGAAGACTTGCAGCTCAGGATAGGCTCTGTAATATTTCAGATTTTTACTTTCTCTTTGTAGCTTAAAAAAAGAACCTGTACGGGGACTAGCAAATGGTATAGCAGTTATGTTGCTGGACTCCCACATGGCCAACCACAGTTTGAGTCCTGGACCCAGTGGTTTAAAACTCACGCTGTGTGCATGTGCATGTGTGCCCAAGATCCCAGGAGGAGAATGGAGGAGAAGGGATTGCGGCATGGCCATCCCCCAGGAGGGGATTTCTCACTTTCTGTTTCTCTGTTTCTCCAGAGAGTATATGTTCCCTATAGCAAAAATCTCAAAAAAAAAAAAAAAAAAAAAAAAAAAAGAAAGAAAGAAAAAAGAGAATCTATTAGTCAGAGTTCTCCAGAGGAAAAGAACCAATAAGGTGTGGGGGGAGGGGCTAGGATAGGGGTCTAACGAGATTTATTGTTTTTTTAATTTTCATTTTTATTGGTTTTTTCTTTTTTTTGTGGGGGAGAAATTTTTGCTAAAGGGCACGTGCATTTGCCAGAAAGACAGAGAGAGACAGAGAGACAGAAAGCGAGAGATCACCCCCCAGGGGGATGGCCACGCCGCAATCCCTTCTCCTCCATTCTCCTCTCGGGATCTTGGGCACACATGCCCACGTACCCAGCATGAGTTTAAGCTACTGGGTCCAGGATTCGAACTGTAGTTGACACATGGAAGTCCAGCGACATAGCCATTATATCAACTGCTGGTCCCCTAATGAGCTTTATTATAAAGAATTGGCTCACACAGTTATGGAGGCTGGCAAATCTGAAATCTGGGTGGGGGCCAGCAGGCTGGAGACCAGAACCATGGTGCAGGCCCAGTGTGCAGGTAGGCTGCTGGAGAATTCCTCTTCTCTGGGGAAGCTGGTCTTCTGGTTCCGCTCAGGCCTTCAGCTTACAGATGCTGGCTGCCTGCATTGTGGATGGCACTCTGCCCTCCTCAAAGCTTACCAATTTAAAGTTAATCTTATCCCGAACACTGCACATTGGCACATAAAAGTAACTGACAGCGGGACCAGCAGGTGGCGTAGTGGTTGGGGCGTTGGACTCCCACATGGCCGGCTGTGGTTCAAGTCCTGGACCTGGTGGCTTGAAACTTCCACTGGGCATGTGTGTATGTGTGTGCGTTCCCAAAATTCAGACAGGAGAATGGAGGAAAAGGGATTGTGGCATGGCCATCCCTGCCAGAAGATGACTTCTTGCTTTCTGTCTCTCCAGTGAGTATGTGCACCCTAGAGCAAAAATCTCTCTCAAAAAGCAAAACAAAACAAAACAAAAAATGCTTGGAAATTTCATTACTTATGCACACATTGTGTCTCTGTTTCTTAGGATGACCTCGGAGGACCAAAATCAAGAGGACCTCATTTTCAAATACTTCAAAGAAAATAAAGTGGAGATTGCAAGTGTAATAAAAACACCATTTCCTTTCCTTATGAGCCTCCGTGACCACTCCTTCATCTCTCAGAAGATGTTTGAAGTAAGTGGCGGAATGTGCTCATGATGGTTAGCTTGCCTCACGGGACATTATGCCAAGCCCAGGGTGCCATGAGCAGGCTGAAGGGCTTTCTGGGAGTTCAGACCCACCCTGTCCTGCAGTCAGGGAGCACCAGGGAGGCAGGCAGCCCAGAAAGCATTTTCTCTTCAGTAGCCAGCGCTGGTGGGCGTCACTGGGCTGAAGTCGTGGAGGACAGGGAGTGGGAATAGGGTGCAGAGCATCTTGGGGACGACTGTATTGTATTAGGACACCAGTTACAATGAAAGCAAATACTCGGGTCAGGCAGCAGCTCGTTACAAAGCCCTCTTCCTTTTTTTTTTTTTTTAAACTTATTTTTGGAGAGGTTTTTGCTATAGGGCGTGTGCACTCACCAGAAAGACAGAGAGAGACAGAGAGATAGAAAATGAGAAATCACCCCCTGGGGGGATGGCTACACCGCAACCCCTTCTCCTCCATTCTCCTCTTGGGATCTTGGGCACACACGCACATGTGCCCAGTGTGAGTTTAAGCCACCGGGTCTAGGTCTTGAACTGCAGTCGGCTACATGGGAGTCCAGCGGCATAGCCATTATGCTGACTGCTATTCCCAAAGCCCACCTACTATAAACACACGCGCCTGAGATTATCGAAATTCAGAGACGTTGTGTCACATTAGAATAAATTTGGAAGGAGGCGCTCGCTACTCTTTCTTCAAATCATTTCTTATTTATTAGAGATTCTGGAGTGCTGGATTGCAGGCAAAGCTTAGCTGTGGCACCCCTGGGGATGCTGAGGACAAGACTTTTCTTCCTATGAATTTTCTTCTTCTCTTTTCTTTTTTTTCCCCCAGGTATTTTTAGTTTCGATTTTTATTTTTCTTGCCATAGGGTGTGTGTACTCACTGGAGAGGAGACAGAGAAAGGGAAAATGAGAACCCCTCCCCCCAAGGAGGAAAGGCCACACCAAAGTTCCTTCTCCTCCATTCTCTTGAGATTTTGGGCACGCACACACATGCACTGGGATGATTTTCAACCCTTTGAGTCTGAGACTCAAACTGTAGTCAGTCGTGTGGGAATCCCTCTGTCTTAACCTCCACATCACCTGCTGGCTCTGTCTCTGTGAATTTTCTTTGCTCTTTAGCCAGATTTACAGAAGGGGAGGATGGTCACTTGGTTTCTGAGAGCCCTCAGGTTAGGTCAGTCCTGGGGTAAGAAAGGCAGTGGGTGTTGACTGGTCAACAGAACAGCCTCTCATGGCTTTGTTAGGGCTACTCCTCAGACTTTGGCCAGGTTCTAAAAAGCCCACACAGTGTTTGAATTTGAACCCACTTTTATGCTCCAGAATTACTCTCCATAGGGTACCTCAGTGTCAGATCAGATTCACATAATCAGAGTCTATTTTTATAGTGGGGGGACATTGAAGAAGTCCTTCAAATACATGTAAAATCCCAGCATTTCACAGGAAAACCAATGTGAACTAATCTGAATGTTCCATTACCCATAAGTCCATAGCTATGTAATTCTTTATTCACTATTTTTAAGCATTATGAAAAAGCTTGTAGCCTGGTCCCAGTGCCACGAGTGGCGTATGATGTGCTCGGAGAACTGGAGAAGTCCTTCAGCTTGTCCCTTCTGGAAACACTCTTCAGCAAGGCCAACTGCAGAAGCTACCAGGGTTTAGAAGAAATTCATAAAAGTTTCCTGAATGGTAACTATTCAATGACCTGGGGGATTCAGTCCATTTCATTTATTGATTCAGTTCACTCTTTATTAATATTTGACAAATATGTTACTGAGTGACTGCCACTGCCAGGTACAGAGGGAAAAAATGATGAAGAAAACACACATGACCCGTGTCCTCACGGAGCAGACACAGGGGCCGTGGCAGATGCTAACAGCATGGTCCTTCAGGTGGTGGCTCAGCCAGGACCCGATCTTGATGCCGTGAAACAGAGGGCTTAAGTTTAGTTTTTAGGGGGAAGCCCTTTCACAGGGAAGAAGAAAGCCCTCTTTGGCATTTGCAGACATGCACCAAGATAAAAGACTTCCCTTTGTATCAGAAAACTTAGCATTCAGTGCAGTCCTGGTTCAATGTACTTCTCCAGAGGAAGAGTGGGAAGGCTATAGGGGAAGCTGAACATAGGCCACCCATGGTGGGGGGTGGGGGGTGAGGGGTGGGAGGTGGGGAGCAGCATGTGAAAACTACAGAGTGAGAGAGAAGGTGGGCTTTCTGAACGCCGGGGTTCAACCATGAAGGTGGGAGGTAGGATTTGGAAGCTGATTCTGGAGGAGAAAGTTTAGAAGGCCTGACACCTTGTGCTAAGCAATTTGAACTCTGTTTTTTTTTTTTTTTTTTTTTTATGGAAATAAGTACTAAGGGATTTTTAAGCAGGGAAAAAGTAAAAGAAGTCAACATGAAAGGAGAGATGTATTGATCTGGGAAAACCATTATCCTGGTAAACAGAAGAACAATCTAATTTCTATACTATCCCGTATCCAATCTAGAGAAAGGAATAAAGAAAGTCAAGTACCTGGGCACAAATTTCAAGTCAATTTTATATTTGCTATCAGGATGTCTCTGAGCTGTGGGTATGAAGGGAATGGTGTTACCTTCACTGCCCACACGTCACATGTCCACTGCCCACCCAGGGACTGTGCTGTCCTTCCCCACCCAGTGCCTCCAGCCCAGCTAGGGAGCATACCTCCTGGAAGCAATTCCTATGGGAGAGGGAGGTGAGTCGAGGTGAGCCGTGTGAATGAGGGCGGAGGTACAGAGGGCCTGTAGGAGCAACCAATGTTTCTCTCATCCCAGGATTTCATGTCAGGCGAATTTGGAGGAGGACATGGGGAAAGCTGTGTGGTCTAGAGAATATAAAGAAACCACATGTGTAGGCATTTTCCTGGAGAGTGGGGAGACTGCCCAGAACCTCTAGCTCACCTGTCCTCAGGGAAGATGCTCTCACCTCCCAGACTATGACCCACGTGAGTTGCAGAGTAGAAGTCCAAAGCTAGACTATGGTTTAGAACACGCCACGTCGTCCTGCTGCCAGGTCCTCATCTTCACTTACTGTGTGTGGAGAGGACCCCCACTCCTCAGCGAGACGCTCTCCTTATGCTCTCTAGACCTGAGTCACACTGCTCGTCCCACGTCCTCCTCCAGATTCTGCCTGACTTGAGGTCAGCGTGTCCTGGGATGGGAGGAGAAGAAGCATGGGCTGCTCCTACAGGCCCTCTGGACCTTCAGCCCTGCCCACTCCTCTTACCCCTGCTCCCGTGGGGATCGCCTCCAAGAGGCATGCTGCCTTGCCAGCGCTTCGAGTGGCATCTTTCTGTATTTCCTGGGTACTTTATGTGAGTCTTGCGTCTCTACCTGTTTTCTGGGTCACCTTGAAATGTAGCTCAGAGGCCATCCGTGTCCTTGGTTGATTTCCCGCACTTCTCGTTGCTGCCCCTGGTCCATAGCTGCGGTAGCACTGGCTCTGGGCCTCTGAGGTCAGAGTCACTTCCTGCCTTTCAGAGGTAGTTTGCGCTTGACCCCTCCCGCCCCACCTGGGGAAATGTTATTTGCTCTTCACTGCTCTGTTCTTTGTAACCAGATCATCTTCCCTGATAAGATTAAGCAAAGATCTCCCTTCCCCCTCTCTTGCCCTCTGCACTGATGTGTGCAGCAACATGGGTGACTTTCAAACACATCATGGTGAGCAAGAGAGGATCGTCACAAGAGCACATGCCATGGGATCACATATAACTCCCAGGGAGACGAGTACAGTACCAGAAATGAAGGCTTACCAGTGGTCATGAAATCAGAAATGCTGGATTAAGCACAAGAGAATTTTCTGGGGTGGTGAAAATGTTCCAAATCTTAACTGCCATGTTGACATCACAGTGATTTACACTTCAGATATGTGTTTCTTATTGAAAAAGAGGGGGGCATGGCTCTCTTGGTCTTAAATAGGGAACCTGGAGCTTGAACATAGAGTTCAGCTGGAGCACACTGAGGTCTCTCCTGTGGTGACTGAGTTTGGTTATTTTCATCCTGTTCTTTTCAGTGTCCCAAGGACAGTTATCTCGCCAAACAAATAATCAAAAAGGGCCAGTCAAAGAGAGAGCCAGCTCACAATTTGGTGGACAAGGTAACTATCATTGAACTTACCGGTTCCTTTATGAAGTCTTTGTTTTCTCATCTTCACACAGGCAAAGTCTGTGTTGTGTCTCCTTTCTTAGTCTTTTATACCCCTCTCCCATCAACCCCTCGTGCCTGCCCTTCCCTGCCAGCAGGTTTGAGAAAGACAATGAGAAAGGAGTTGCGAGCTTCTGAATAGATGGAGTCTCCGCTGATGGAGAATATAAACAGAGAGAATGATAAAGTAGAGAGAGGGAAATGCATGACAAATTATATGCACGGATCGGGTTTTCTGAAGAAACGTAAACCCTCCCATGTTGGCATGGGGGATTGTTTTCAATTAATTCCATAGGACGATGAAGAGAAGCTCAGAGAGACGCTCCGTAATATGGTTAAGGGAACCAGATACCATGTTTGAGTTCCCACTTCAGCAGTTTGGAAAACACGCCTGGTGCACATGCATGTGTGCCCAGAATCCTGGTGAAAAGAAGGAACGGAGGAAAGAGGATTGCAGCGTGACCGCAGCCCACTGGGGAGTGCTTTTTCTCTCTCCCATGTACCATCTGGCAATAAAATAAATAAATAAATGAATAAATAAATAAATAAATAAATTTATTTTTTCTTGTTTTTTTTTTTTTTTTTTTCCTTAAAGAGGAACTTTATAGTGAAATAATATGCCATGTCAGGTTCATGTGGGAGATCTTCATTACAGAGCTGGCCAGCTGGAGGTCCCTGGACCGAGTCAGAGCCCCAGAGGGGAATTTTGGAGATGGTGAGGGTGGGGAATCTGAGGATGAAATTACAGAGGCAAAAGCTGACAAACAGAAGTGGGAGAAACAGATAAAAAGTGAGCATAGCATAGAATAAATAAATAAATAAATTTTTTTTTTTTTGTTTTTTTTTTTTTTTTTTTCCTTAAAGAGGAACTTTATAGTGAAATAATATGCCATGTCAGGTTCATGTGGGAGATCTTCATTACAGAGCTGGCCAGCTGGAGGTCCCTGGACCGAGTCAGAGCCCCAGAGGGGAATTTTGGAGATGGTGAGGGTGGGGAATCTGAGGATGAAATTACAGAGGCAAAAGCTGACAAACAGAAGTGGGAGAAACAGATAAAAAGTGAGCATAGCATAGAGCAGAGAGGAGTTAAACTGAAAAATCTGTCAAGAAGCAGAGATGAAAATGGAGAGAAAAGAATATGGGAAGAGAAAAACGAGAGGAAAATAAACACCAAGGAATGGGGAAAGCTGGGGCAAGGTATAGAGCAACTGTGTAGAAAAGTGGTTCAGAAAAAGGCGTAGGGCCCGCAGGGGGTGCGGTGGCTAAGGCACTCGATCCCACAGCGCCAGCATCATGGCGGTGGCTAAGGCACTGGATCCCACAGCGCCAGCATCACGGATTGAGTACTGAATCTGGCAGCTTGCCGACCACACTGGGCACATGTGCATGCACGTCCAAAATCTGGAGAGGAGGATGGAGGAGAACGGATAATGGCATGGTCATCCCCCTGCCAGTGGCGGGGGGAGTGATTACTCACTTTCTTTCACTGTCTCATGTGAGTGAACATGCCCTGTAAAAAATTAAAAAATTAAAAAAAAAATCAATTGAGAGTAAAAAGGAGAGAGAAACAGATTGGGACAGTGGAGGCTTGAGGTAAGAGCACTGTATATAAGCAACATTTGGCATGTGAGTTGGCTTCAGTAGTTGACAGTTTTCAGATTAAAATGCCCACAGTTATCAGAGTGGCACATACAAAGAAATAGAATTGCAACAGGCGACTCAGTGATTCCCAAGGACAAATCTCCATCCTAAATTATATTCAGGCTAAGTTTATCATGTACCTAAAGATTCTTATCCAGGGGTCTGATAGACATCCAAGCCAGCCACAATAAGGCTCCTGCCTATTTCTCCAGCCTCATCAGTTGAATCCTGAAAGTAGAATAATCCTTCCCCCCCCCCCCCAAATAATTTTAATGGACTCCCATGTAGTCAACTGTGGTTCAAGTCCCAGACCCAGTGGCTTAAACTCACGCCGGGCGTGTGTGCGTGCATGCCCAAGATCCCAAGAGGAGAAAGGAGAAGGGATTGCGGCATGGCCATCCTCCCTGGGGGCTGATTTCTCACTTTCTGTCTCTCTGTCTCTGTCTGTCTTTCTGGCAAGCACACACGCCCTATAGCAAAAACCTCTCCAAAAAAGAAAAAAGGAAGAAAGAAAGAAAGAAAGAAAGAAAAGGAATATTTTCCCTCGATGGGTGAATTATTCCCAGTCCAGCGACATAGCCATTACACTAACTGCTGGTCCCAAGAATATTCCTTTTCTTATACCTCATTTTCCTTCTCACTTGCTCATTCATTTACTCCCACTGGGTTCTGTGTGTTTTATCCATCTCTGTCTCTGTTTCTTTCTGCTAGTATTTATTGGTGCTTCTCTTTCTGGTGAAAGCGACTAAAGCATTTCAAAGTTAACCTTCAGGTCAGGTTGTTTCTGTTTCTTAGGGTTTCCAGGTTTTTTCATTACTTATGTTCTTTCTGTTGTGATGTCTCCTTTGTCATAAACCAAGACCTTAGAGGGATTTCATTCCTTTCTGCAGAGGACAGCAATGTCTGTCATGAAACGTGTGATGTAGAAGTTCCTCAGGAAGCCTTGAGCTCTCCACCAAGAAGTGGTTCAGGTAAGGAAGGAGAGGATTTCTCTTCCTGGCCTGCAGGATGTCAAAAGTTCAAATTCAGATCTGGTATTTCCTGATGTCTTTTACTCTGAGTGTAACAGTCAAAACATTCCGTTTGTCCTGAATCTCATGACTCATGTAAGTGTTCCCAAGCATATCCTAGTAGAAATATGCTAGAGAAAGAGGATGTCTTATGCCTATTAATACTGAAGACTTAAATGTATACCTACCCATCCTTTATTCTTCCCTGGAGAATACTACATAAGTATCATTTTGTTTGTTAATATTTTATTTTGTTCCTTAAAGTCTTAAAAGAAGAAACATGGTCTTTTTGATCAACTACTCTGAAGTTTTTTTTTTTTTTATAAAGAATCATTTATTTATTTTAATTAATTAATTTACTAAAGAATCATTTATTTATTTTAATTAATTAATTAACTAATTATTTTGGAAAGGTTTTTGTTATAGGGCGCATGTGCTCGCCAGAAAGAGAGAGAGAGGGACCAGCAGTTGGTGTAATGGCTATGTCGCTGGACTCTCATGTAGTCAACTGCAGTTCAAGTCCTGGACTCAGTGGCTTAAACTCACACCGGATTCATGTGCATGCCTGCCCAAGATCCCGAGATGAGAATGGAGGAGAAGGGATCGTGGCATGGCCATCCCCCCCTGGGGGGTGATTTCTCGCTTTCTGTCTCTCTATCTCTCTCTGTCTTTCTGGCGAGCGCATGTGCCCTATAGCAAAAACCTATCCAAAACAAAACAAAACAAAGGGAGACAAAGAGACAGAAAGTGGGGATGGTCACGCTGCAATCTCTTCTCCTCCATTCTCCTCTTGGGATCTTGGGCATTCACACACATGTGACTGGCGTGAGTTAAGCCACCTGGTCTGGGACTCGAACCGTGGTCGACTACATGGGAGTCCAGCCACATAGCCATTACATCACTGTTGGTCCCTATTTAATTTTTTTCCTATTTAATTTTATTTGTTTTTATTATTATTAAAATTTGCTATAGGGCACATTCACTCAACAGAGAGAGAGAGAGACAGAGACAGAGAGAGAAAGTGAGAACTTACCATGATGGAGTTTGAGAAGAGAGAAGTAATTTTAAACTTGCCCCCTGCACAAGCATAGGAATAATTAAATACTGTATATAGGAAAGACAAAGTAGAAGTGAGTTAAAGTAATAAACATGGGGATAATGGGACAGAGAGCCAGAGAACATCACAGAGGAAGAAAGACACAAATGTGAAGAGATGGTAGAAGCCGGGAAGAGGCCATCAAGTCAAAGAGATCCACAAATAGCTTCATAGTTCAGGTACAGCAATGTGTGAAGACAGAGTTAAAGACCGAAAAAAGAGAAGTCAGGAGAAAGAGAAGGAAGGGGTCTAACAAGTTGCTAAAGAGTTGGAGCAAAGCTTGTTTTGTGCAAGCGTACCTTGATTCCCAGGGAGCATTCTATCTTCTGAACATCAGAGATTAGCATGATCACATCCAGATATGTGTCAAAGACACTGTCACTTGCCTTTCATGTTCCTGTTTGTCTCCTCAGAGTCTGGGGAAGTTATTCTACAAACAGATGAAGAAGAAATATTCACCTTGCTATATTGTGATACAGAAGGTAATTCAAATTAAATAGACATATAATTAAAACTTTTATTTTTCTGTCAAGAGAAAACACTTATTCTTTCATTTCCTTTCCTGCTCCTCTATCCACCAATCCATCCATCTATCCATATACCGGTCTATTCATCCAATCATTCATTCACCCACCCACAAATATACCCATTTATTCACTAGTCTACCCACCCACCAAGCCACTCATTCACCCATCCATCCATCCATCCACCCATCCATCCATCCACCCACCCATCCATCCATCCACCCACACACCTAGTAATCCACCCATCCACCCATCTGTCCACCCATCCATCCATCCACCCACCTAGTAATCCATTCATCCACCCATCTGTCCATCCATCCATCCACTCACCCACTCACCTAGTAGACCATCCATCCACCCATCTATCCATCCATCCATCCATCCATCCACCCACCCACCCACCTAGTAATCCCTCCATCCACCCATCCGTCCATCCATCCATACACCCACCCACCTAGTAATCCATCCATCCACCCATCCGTCCATCCATCCTTTCATCCATCCACCCCTGCACTGACCTACTATGCCCAACTTTTGGCTACTTTCCTCAGGAGACACCAGCAAACAAAAGAAAGACGGGCTCAGACTGTGGTTTTCTTATACACAGAACATAGACGAGGAACTACAGATAGGGTCATTAAGTAGAGACCTGAGTGATTGCCAGTTTTACCTAAATAGAGATGGATCCAAATATGACCAGATTGGGATGTATTATCAGGGAGGGGAGATCATTTTCAACCCGTTTTTCCTGAGATTGTTCCAGGAGTATGGACGTAATGAGAATATTGCGATGAAGAAAAATTGCATTAAAGACTTTGGAAATGCATCTGGCAAGGAGAAGGGTCTCTGCTCTTGTCTTTCCAAGGGCAAAAGTTGAGACTTTTGATGATATAAGAAAAAGAAGAGGCAATACACAGAAAGATTAAAATTTAAATTTTATACTGAATGATTAGGGACAGGAAGTCAACTCAGGTGAACAGAGAGAGGCAAGGAAAGAGGTAAGCTTCATAACTGAGCAAGGCACGGAGTTAAAAGGTAGAAAAGAAGATACTAAGAGAGAAGCAGGGAGAAGGAAAATGCTAAATGACAAAGACAGTGAAGAGGCAGGAAAGTTATACACAGAGACAAATATAAAGGAGAATGCGCAAAAGCACAGTGCAGAGTCAAACTGCCAGAGAGAAGTTCGGGACGCTATGGAGACTTAAGGAAGAGTCCAGGGCGGAAGCGACTGTGACACAGGGTGGACCATGTCAGCACTGAGTTTAGTGTCCCCAACTATCAAAGTGGCAGCCTGCCCCAGGTGTTTCTAACTACTCTCATGTATAACATAAGGGTTCCGAAGCACATATTTCCAGATTCATCGTCTAAAACTCACTCATGAGTGACTAAACATGTTCACGCAGATCTCTGAAAGACATCTCCAGAATCTCGATATCAGACACTTCAAGAACCTCGATATCAGACACTTTCTCAATTGCACATGCTATTTTCTGACACCAGATCTTCCGCCCCTCCTGGGTTACGTATCTTTTGTATAAAAGTATGGGACACTATTGCTCCATTCTTGAAGCTGGAACCTAGGAATTGTATGTTTTTTTTTTTTTTTAAGAATTATTTTATTAATTTTATTAATTTGTTTTTATTATTATTATTATTTTAATTTGCTAGAAGTCACATGCACTTACCAGAGAGAGACAGAGAAATGAAAGTGAGAAAGCAAGCCTCCAGATCTGGGACTTGAACTGCTGTCGGCCATGTGCAAGTCCTGTGCTTTAACCACCATGCCACCTGCTGGCCCTCAAACCTAGAAATTGTTAATGACTCATTCACCCCCCCTCAACGTAATCCCACGTCAATAATCCAGTTTGGTCAATTCTACTTTTAACCTTATCTCCCACTATCCATTTCTTTCTGCCCTCACACAAAATCTGATTTTCCCCAGGTTTCTCTCTCCTATTTTGGATGAGCACAAAAACCCGCAGTCTCATATGTCCCCCACCATCTTACTCCCTTCACATCCATCGTCTCCAGCTCAATTACTTGACTCTGAAAAGTGCAAGTTGACTTACCTTATTTTTCACTTTAAATCAGTAACTTCTTGTTGCCCTAAAGCTTAAATTCATTTTCCTCCCTGGGGCTCCAGCTTCATGTCTGCCTCTCCTGATGCCACTTCAAAGTTTGTGTTCAAGTATTTCAGTGATTTAAATGTTCTGGTTTCTCTCTCCTCTGAGCCTTCGCACATGCTTAGCTCTGTGCTTGGAACAGTCTTCTTGGCCTACTCGACTCTGAAAAGTGCAAGTTGACTTACCTTATGTCTCACTTTAAATAAGTAACTTCTCGTTGCCCTAAAGCTTAAATTCATCCTCCTCCCTGGGGCTCCAGCTTCATGCCTGCCTCTCCTGATGCCACTTCAAAGTTTGTGTTCAAGTATTTCAGTGATTTAAATGTTCCGGTTCCTCTCTCCTCTGAGCCTTTGCACACGCTTAGCTCTGTGCTTGGGACAGTCTTCTTGGCCTACTGCACTCCTCACCCTGCTCACTACTCTGGTGAAATCACGCCCAAACGGCTTATGATCTCAGAGATGCTCTTGCTGATCTCTAATCCTGCCTAAGTCTAGAAAACACGGGGACTAAAAAGTGAGGGTAGAACATAAATCACAGCACCAGGGTGGCAAGAGAGAGAAAGGGAAGATGGAAAAGAAACAAATCAAGACAAAGGTTTACCAAGGATGTAGCTGCAGGATCCAGAGGCAGAAGCAGGAGGGGCGGAGATGTGTGGAAAGGGTAAAAGCAAGAACAAGAACGAGGCAGGCAGACGAGGGGGACAAGTCTTCAGTCTCCATCAGATAATAATCCATGAATGCAATCACCCACTGGATTATTTCAAGAGCTCCTTTTGCCCTCCCAAAGCCCGAACACACACATGCAAACTGTTCTAACCTCTGTTTTACAGATAGGAAGATAAAGCACAGAAACGCATGCAGGTTATTTTCGTCAGGGCAAAGTAGAAAGAAAGGGTGGCACCAGTGTCCTCGGTGTGTGACTGGGTGACGGTTGTGTGTGTCCTGGGTGTGTCACTGGGCAGTGGATGTGTGGGGCCAGGTGGGTGTCAACGTGGGGTTGTTGGATATGAACAGAAAGAAGCAGCCTGAGAAGTTCTACAGTCTCTGGAATGGTGGACAGAGCCAAGGTAGGACTTGGTGGGGCCCAGGCTGGTGGTGCAGTTCATAGCAGCCTGGACTGCAGTGCTGGAGGCCACGTAGCCTCCTGAGGGTTTGGATCCCCACATCATCCTGAAGACAAACTGGGCTTGCACTTGGGTGCCCAGGATCCTGCAGAGCTGGAGGGCTGGGGAAAGGAGATCACAGTCCGATGAAACGCTGTTGGGGTACCTCTCTCTTTCTCCTCTTGTGCTCATGTACTCACGATCATTCAAAAGAAAAGAAAAGAAAAGAAAAGAAAAGAAAAAAGAAAAGAAAAGAGAAAGTACTTAGTGAGAAAGCGTGGTGAGACAGGGAGCTTAGGAATAGAGCTTGTCCTTTGGGATAGGAGAGATCTAGACTAAAAGAGGTAAAAAGGTAACAGAAAAGGGATACAGTCTCACTGTAATGAACAAGAAAAAATACATAGGAATGACAGGATGGGGGCGGCAGCTGATGTGGCGGTTGAAGTGCTGGACTCCCACAGGAGCTGATGTGGCGGTTGAAGTGTTGGACTCCCACTTGGCCGATGGTGGTCCAAGTCTCGGACCTGGGGGCTTGCTTTCCCACTTCCCTTCTCTCTCTGTATCATTCTCTGGTCAGATTCAAATGAATGAATAAATAAGTAAAAATAAATAAATAATTATTTTGGAAAAAGAAAGAGAGACACAGGAGGACATAGAAAAAGAAATGCCCAGACAGTCAAACATTGGCACGGCTAGGAAGCAGCGCCGTGTGGAGGCAGAACCGTGGGTTCTCCCTGAGCAGGAGGAAGACGGAGGTGCCACGGTTGGGATAACGGTGCGAGAAGACTGTGGTTCTCAGCTTTTGCGCGAACACGTTTTCCCATCGTGGATGGCGTGAGCGTGCACGGGTCTGTTTCCAGATCACCTTCTATGGCCCATCCTTTCCTTATTTCTCCGCAGAGATCTGTGATCCCCAAACTCCACAAGTGACTAACGGAGGGGAGCCAGCAGGGGTGCTCAGGCTACTCTCAGGTGAGGGACGAGGTACCTGGGCTTTAAGTTTCCAACTACCTCCATGAATCATTGTTTTCTAGTCAGGGTGGAAAAGGAAAGGCTCTCCTTTCTCTCATCCTGTGCTTTTCTTCATAGTCACACAAACATACAGGTGGAATCATGTCCATGTTCCATTCTATTTTTTTCCAAAGCTATGAGAGACAGAGGCTAAAGGTGGAAAGGGTATTATACCTGTGTGAAGAACAGAGGCAAAATATGTGTAAGGTAGACTGGGGCACCAAAGAAGAAATGCCTGAGTGATTGTGCTGAACGCACAGGAAACCTCAAATATCAGCGTTATGGCAGTTGAGGCACGGGATAGTACGTCCTGCCCACTTCTGGAGTCACCAGGAGCATGAACCTAAGTTTCGTGAATAGTTGAAGGCTTGCAATCCCTAAGGATGCTCAGATGTGTGTCTATGACTAAGCCAGTTTTCTTTTTTTTTTAGAGGTTTTTGTCTTAGGACATGTGTGCTTGGCAGAGAGAGAGAGAAAGACAGAGTGAGATGGAAAGTGAGAAATCACCCCCCAGGGGCATGGCCATGCCACAATCCTCTCTTCCATTCTCCCCCCCTGAGATCTTGGGCACGCACGCACACAAGCCTGGTGTGAGTTTCAAGCCACTGGGTCTGGGATTCAAACTGTGATTGGCCATGTGGGAGTCCAGCGACATAACCATTATGCCATCTGCTGGCCCCAAGCCATTTTTCTAAGGTAATTTACCCAAATGCCTGGAAGCATTTATCCAAGGACCATTTTAGGAGTGTCAAAGTATGCACTTCCAAAATTGAAGCCAACATCTTTTTCCCTGGAACTAGAAACTGACTTGTCTCAGTAATGGGACCACTTTCATCTCATTTTCTTGAGCCAAAAGCTTAGGATTTATCTATCACCCCTTCCTCTCTTTCAACCACACACTCCATGGATCACAAGTTCTGTTGATTTTTCCTTCAGAATATCTCCCACCTTTCTGTACTTGGCCAAGGCAAAACTATAAACCAGATCTCTGTTACTGTTTACTTGGACAAGAATAAGACTTTATCTTCATTCTTCCTCCATTCTGACTCCCATCCCACAGGTTACCTTTCTAAAAATGCAGATCAGGGGCCAGCAGGTGGTGTGGTGGCCATACAGCTGGACCTGCGTGGAAGGTTCTCGGCTCACACCTGGGCCTCCTTGTGCACGCTGGGTGCGGTATGTGTGCTCATGATAAGGGCAGGCTGAGGCTAGAGATGGATTGCAGCATGAAGACCCTGTTGGGGATTCCCCCTCCCCTGAAGAAATAAACAAACATTTAAAAAATGATAAATACAAATCAAACAGCATTCTCTTCTCACTAAAACCCAGCCATTTGATTGCTCTAAAGATGAAGTACCTTGTTTTTTTCCCCCTGGGGATTCTAAGGCCCTCTGCCGTGGGGCACTTGCCTGTCTGGCTAGACAATCATTTCCTCACATGCTATTACTTTCCCGTTGATACAACTTTTCAGTGTGTGCAATGCTCGGATCTCTCATGTCTGTCTCTTGAAAGCACGTTCAGGATTGTCACACATTTAGCACAAATTCAGAATTGTTATTAACTCCCTGTCTCATGTCTAATGTGGTTCTATCCTGTGTAAATTCTATTATCTCTGGGTTGGATTTCCTGACCCCTAGGTATTGAAAGATGTCCAGAACCAAAGACCAAAGGAAAAATGGGAATGCTAGAGACAAGGAAAGAGGGAGAGAAGGAGATCGAAAGAGAAGGCACCGAGAAGCACCGGGGAACGCCAGGGACAGAGCCCAAGGGGAGAGATGGAAGGAAGGCTCGGCGGCAGGCAGAAAGAAGTGGTAGGTGTAGGTGGGCGGAAAGGGAGGGAGAGCCCCGAACACATCCCACATCTCACATCCCCCAGGCGCTCCAGCCTCCAGTGCTCAGTGGCTGAAGTCATGCTAACCTCGGTCAGGGCCCTGTGGGAGGGGAGGTTCCTGTCTAGGAGATACTAAGTGTTCCATATCTTTCCGATGGTCTTATAGGTTCTTATTTCTGTCATGTTTGCCCCCTGAATTATGTACTGAGACCTCTGAGAGTTTTTGTTTCTTTCTGCAGAAGACAGAAATGACTGTTTGGAAATTAGCCAAACAGAAGAATCCCAGCAAGCTTCAAGCTCCCAGCTAATACTTGAACCTGGTAAGGAAAGGGAGGTCCCAGCTCTGGGTTTGGGGTATCAAGTGGCTAAACACAGAGGTGCTTCCTGCCGGCCTGGTGGCTTTTTTTTTTTTTTGCATAGAAATGAATAAATTGGGCCAGAAGACAACAGGATGTCTAAGACCCCACATGGCCGACCACAGTTTGAGTTCTGGAACTGGTGCCTTGAGAATCATGCCAGGCACATGTGTGTACGTGCCCAACATCCCAGGAGGAGAGTAGAGGAGAAGGGATTGTGGTGTGGCAGTCCCCCCTGGGGGGTTACTTCTTATTTTCATCTCTCTGTCTCTCTCTAGTGAATGCACAAGCCCTATGGCAAAAACGAAAACAAAAACAACAAATAAAAGAATGACGGTAATATGGGAGATCCAGTACAGGTTTTGGTTAAAGGAATAGCTTAATATCATGAAGATGATTTTAATTTCCTGTTTATTTATTTTTTAATTTTAATTTTTTAATTTTCAATTTCTGTGTCCCATGAGAATGGCTCCAAGATGTTTTATATAGTAAAATATATGGACTACAGTGATATTTAAGAAGAGATTTCAACTTTCCATTGTCTTTAAGATCCAGTTAATCTTAGGAATCCTCTTGTTTGTCTTTTAGTCATGACTTTTGGATAATTTTGGTTTTTCTTCATCCTTTCTTCAGCCATAGATCATGGCTAAGAAAACAGCCTGCTTTGTTTTGTTTTGTTTTACAAAATTAAAGTTTTTCCTCAGCGGTTTGCATCTTTTGTTTGTTCGCTTTTTTTGGCCAACTCAATGAGTAGATGAAGAAGTACTTAGATCTATAGTGTGAGAGATGACGTATGTATCGCATCAGAGAGGATAAACTTCACATCCCCTCAGCCTTATTTAAGACTTGGGGGAGGATGCATTATTTTTTTATTGATACAGACCAAATGATCACAAATGTAGTGGTTTACTCCAAAAGTTGGGCCACTCAGAAGTCTGGGCAGGTTCTATTCAGTTCTGTGCTTGAAGTCTCATGAGACTGAAATAAAGATGTCAGCCAGGCTGATCGATTATCTGAAGAACATGGAAGGTCACGTAATCACACTTACCCAGGTTATTGAGAGAATCCAGTTCCTTGTGGTTGTAGAGCTAAGCTTATGATTTTGTTGCTGGTTGTTAGTCAGGGTCTCTCAGCTCCTAGAAGCTGCTTATCATCCTTGATACGTGGCCCCTACATCTTCAGGCCAGTAAATATTTTTGGAATCCTCACACTTTGAAACTCTGACTTCCTCTTCTGCTGCTAGCTGGAGGAAACTGCTTTACTACATTACTAAATTACTGGAGAAAGGATGCAAATGAACAGATGGAAGCCGACGTAGGCTGAATCTCCAGTCCAAGCCAGGTCCCAAAATGAATGGATGTGGGTCCATTAACTGGAAGGCAAATTGTGCAAAGATGTTAGGCCATCCACCCTGGGGGGTGATTTCTCACTTTCCTGCTCCACTGTCTTGTCTCTCTTCCCGTGTGCGCATGTGCCATATGACAAAATCTATAAAATAAAATAAAATAAAATAAAATAAAATAAAGGAAAAATGAGAGTAAATGAAGTGGTGGAAAGATAAATACATTAATGGCAAAAACATTTTGCTAAATGCTGTACCTCCAAACCAAAATGATGAATTACTGTAGCTCTAATTGGATACCTTTCTTTAAACAATAAGATAAATTCAGAAATAAGAACTCAGATTCAGTTGTCAGTGGTTTGGGAAGAGGATCTGAGTTGGGCACAAGAGGTCTGATATTCCCACCTGCTGGCCCAGGGATCTCATAAGACACCCCCAAGAAAGTGTCTTCAAGGTGATCTTGGTAAGACATTTTCTCTCTCTCTCTCTCTTGCTGTAGGGCATGTGCCAGAGAGACAGGGAAAGTGAGAAGCACCCCCCCCCCATTCCAGGTGATGGCCAAACCGCAGTCCCTTTTCCAGGCTCTTCTTGGGATTTTGGGCATGTGCATACACTCGCCCTGTGTGTTCTCAAGCTGCTGGGTCCAGGACTCAAACTGTGGAGTCAGCCATGTGGTATCCAGTGCCTTAACCTCCATACCAACTGCTGACCTGAGAAATTAATTTTTAAAAATTATTTATTTTATTTATGATGATGATGATGATTTTTAAGTTTGCTATGAGGCACATGTGCTCACCAGAGAGAGAAAAAGAGAATGTGAGAAAGCAAGCCACCAGGTCCAGGACTCAAACTGCTGTCAGCCATGTGGGAGTCCAGCACCTTAATGACCATCCTACCTGCTGGCTCGGAAATTCATCTTTTTTAAAGGAAGAAGCCACCATTTCATATCAAAGGCTAAAAACTGATTTATTGCTTGCTAAGCAAGTCATCTGCTGGGTGGAGGCACTGTGCTTATGGGACACAGTCTCTATACAATAGGAAACTGCTGCTCTTGTTCAGAGTTATGGGAAACATGACTCTGAATAGTCATTCAGGAACTCAGATTTGCACAAGCAAGAGTGTTTATGAGTGACCACCAGTTAGCGTAATGGCTATGTCGCTGGATTCCCATGTAGTCGACAGCGGTTCACGTCCCAAACCCAGTGGCTTAAAACTCACGCCAGGAGAAGAAGGTTCCACATGGCTCTAGCGAACTAGATTTTTCAGGGAATGAAGATTTTGATTTTCTACGGATAATTCAGCCTCCAACAAACGAGCTAGCGGCAGAACTTCAAGAATTTGAAAGAAACACACCATCCATCAGATGACAAGAAATCACCGCCGGATCATGAGAAATATGGGGAAACGAGAAAATACCTCTCCTCCAAGGGAAAAGAGTAACTCTTCTTCATCCACAAGCAGTTCGATGAAAATCATGGAAATGTCTGATAAGGAATTTAGAGCATTCATAATGTCAAAGCTAACAGAGATGGAAGAGAAGAGAGACAATGAACTGCTAAAGAGAAAGGAGAAAGAAGTTGACGAGTTCCAGGAGATGAGGAAATTCTTGCAAGATCTAAAAGAGGAATTATACACTTTACAAAAGACTCAAATGAAACTGCTAGAGATGAAGTCTATAATACAAGAAGTCAAAATCTCCCTTGAAAGTATTAAAAGCAGACTAGATCATTCAGAAAATAGAATCTCAGATGTAGAAGAGAAAGTGGCTGGCCTAGAAAAATCCACCACGAAGACTGAGAAAATGGTCCAAAAATTTGAGAATAATATGCGAGAAATACTGGATACCATCAAACATCCAAATATCTGGATAATTGGCATTCCAGAAGGTGAAGAGACCCAAAAGGGCATTGATAATCTATTCCATGAAATCCTGCAAGAAAACTTTCCAAACCTAGAGAGGCATTCAAAGAACCAGTCACAAGAAATACAAAGGACCCCAAATAGAATCAACCCAAGAAGATCTTCTCCAAGACACATTATAGCCAGGTTGACCAAAACCACAGACAAAGACAAGATACTAAGATTAGCAAGAGAAAAACATCAAGTTACCTACAAAGGACATCCCATCAGGCTAACAGCAGATCTCTCATC